TTCTTGCTCCATGGCCATCTCCCTTTCTCTTGCCTCAGCCTCAGCCCTAGTTGTTATTTTAGTTGTCTAGATTCAGCTTCAGCTTTAGTTTTTATTTCTGTTTTAACTGGAATTCCTGTTCTTTCTCTAATTTCCATTTCTCAAACTCTATGGAGCTTTCTCTCCCTGAGGCACCCTCCTGTTCCATTGCTATTGTCTAGATTCAGCTTCAGCTTTAGTTTTTATTTCTGTTTTAACTGGAATTCCTGTTCTTTCTCTAATTTCCATTTCTCAAACTCTATGGAGCTTTCTCTCCCTGAGGCACCCTCCTGTTCCATTGCTATAGGAACTCCATTTCCCTCAACTTCCTGAGGTAACCCTCGTTGTGTCTCCTCAGGATCAACTTCTTCCATCACAATCTTTTTTCCTCTTTTAGGAGACATAAGTACTTGTATTTATTAGGATTAGTGGGGGTTTTTGCAGAGAGATATAGTCAAGCAAAGCCGAGTCTCAATTTAAAACACTCTTTTCCTTTTTGAGAGAGAGAGAGAGAGAGAGAGTTACATTTAGTTACTTCGTAGCACTTCGCTGGCAGCCTCCATGAATTGCTACTTTGTTACTTTTAGGCACCTAGCCTCACTGTTCCTTGTATGATACACTGTTTCTTTTGGCCTCCAGCCACTCAGCTATTTCAGATTACTTTTATTTTTCTGTTTTTCAAGCCTCTGCTTGTTCAAGTTCCCTCAGATCTGTGTCTGACCCTGGCTTCCGCTTTTGTCCCCTTCAGCGCTCCCTTCTTAGATTCTAGGATCCAAAGCTAGCCCACTGGGCTAAAATCTTGAGGTAAACCTCTAACAGAATGTTTTCCCTCAGAGTCTTTCCCTGTCTTAGTCCCCAATCTGCGTTTAGCAGCCCCCCTACTAAGCTTTTTCTAAAAGCTCTAGAGAGTTTCCGTACTCCATCCACGACCAACCTCCCTGACTAATAGGAATTTTTGACTCAGGAAACTTTATTCTTTTCTTTGGCCGTACTGGACTCTATTCGAATCCTGCTGCTGGTCACCACTTTGTCATGTCCAACCAGTGTCCTTTGTTTATTTTCACTATTTCACGCTGCCACCAGGTATTATTCTCTCACTTTATTTTCCCTACTTCACGCTGCCACCAGGTATTATTCCTTCAATACCAAATAGATAGCTCTTAGACACGTGCTGCCAATACAACAAATTTATTGCTCTTATAGGTGTTATGCAAATTACAGGAGTAAATCACAGATGTTTAAGATTATTCATTAAATATCATTTGCTTTCACATTGGTTTATATGTGTATTTATTCACTTTTACAATATTCTTTTTATTCTCTATACTTCTGAACTCTTTCCTATTCTCTCTTGCATTCCAACTTTCCAATTTCTGTCTTAACTTTCTCAATTCAGTTTCCTAACCCTCTCTCCTCCATTCCCTATCTCAAACCTCTCTTCTCCAATTCTCCTCTCTAACCGTCTAACTAACTGTCCAATTGTTCTTTTGGTTCCACCTGTCCTGTCCTCTCATAGGCTCCTGCCCTTGACCCTTGAGCTCCCCCGGATGGACGGGGGTGACATGGGGGTTTCACCACATAGTCTTTTTTAGTGGAGAGATCCTTGTTGTTTGCAGAAGAAAAAAAGGTATTTAGAATAATCAGACAAAGATAAATGAGACTAACCTAAGTTAGAGAGTCCAATCCAAAAGGCCCCATCTAGATGGCAACCAGCATGGACAGGTATGATTCTTAAAAGCACTTACCCTCACTTTTCAGAAATTTTTAAATCCTGCTCTCCCATGGTAGTTAAAGAATAGTGATGACAACAACTGATAACCATTAATTTTTTTAAAAAATCTTGCACACATGGGGAAACTGAATGTTAAAATAAAAATCAGATGGGAGAAATTTCTTTTATGGTAGTCTCTGTTGGGCCACACACAATCATACTTACTGTAGGTGTGACAAAACACAGCACTCTTAAGCTACGTACTATGCATTTAACATAGTGCAGTTGACAAAGTGTAGGCTGTTTCATTGCGCAAGAGCACTCTCTTTGGAGGGGAGGATCTCCTGCACCATTCTACTTATCAGACAAGATTACATCTAGATGAAACAATATAAACGGTGTAGACAGGTAACGCTTCGTACTTCCATCTTCTAAAGCTCTTTCTCCTTCACTTCCAAAGTGCACTGGGCTTGCTGTCTGAAGATTACTTTCTAAAAAATATCTACTGGTCATTTAAGCTCACGTTACTCAAAGTGACATGAACAGCATATTATAATCTTGTGGTCATAAATGAGCCCATCTAATGTAACAGAAGGCAATAAATGTGGAAGGTTGCCCTTGACAGCCATTCTCCAAGTCAGGGTTTTCATCAAACTTTCTTCTCATTCCCAGGCAAGGACTGAATTTGGAGAGCTCTTTGTGTGTTCTTTGCCATTGTGAGCTAGGAGGCGAGTCAGATGCTACCCTCAATATTGAGGATAGGCCTGAAGAGAAAGGCAAACTGTCAATTGTTCGAACAGGAGTTCTGAATAAAAGCCTTAGGGGAAGGAACAGGAAACGTTGATCCAATGTATGAGGGGGATGGGAATCAGTGAGAGAGGAACAGAAAAGGTAGGAAACAAGAAGGAGGATGGCGAAGAGAGAGAGAGGCGGGGCAAGGGGAAGTTATAGCAGGAATCAAGAAGGAGGATGGGGAAGAGAGAGAGAGGCGGAAGTTATAAGGAGAGAGGAGCCCTTGCCTCTGGGTTGGGAATGGATTGGGACCAAGGACCCTTGGACTGATAGATGGGAAAGGATCAAGGTACCAAGGGAAGAGGCTGACTATCGGAGGAGGTCCACTATTCCCATGTGTCCTTCTTACTGGAGAGAAACTGAGGCAAAGGAGTGGAGGAGGACATCCTTCTTACTGGAGAGAAACTAAGGCAAAGGAGTGGAGGAGGAGGATTCAAGAGGAAAGAGAGAAGGCTGAGGAGGAGAAGCATAAGAGGAGTGAATGGAGAGTTCTGGCGATGAAGATGGAGGAGTCGAAAAGGTCTGGGAAATATTGGATCAGCTGGGGAATATCCTTTGGGACAACCTTCTCAGAGACGAGGCTGTGCCCCTGTTGTCTGACCTGTCAACCACCCCGTTAAGAGACTGGACAGCCTTAGATTCACCAGGGCCATGGAACTCTAGTTATGGCAACCCTTTTATTGTTGAAGATTGGAAACTCCTGATAGTCCCGTTGACAGAGGGAGACAGACATAGAAATGTTTAAGGGCACTAGTTTATTTGTTCAAGACACAATAAATGTTCCATTGTTAACAGAGCAACTCTCAACTGACGCCTTTCTTGAAAATGAGCCAGAATTGGCTCAGGTACAAATCAAACCCTCACAGCCATCAGATCCGACCTACAGTGACCTTAATAGGGCTTTCAAGGTGAGTGAAATATTTAAGGAGTGATTTTAGCAGCTCCACTCTCCCAGTGAGTTTCCATGGCCAAGTGGGGATTTGAACCTTGTTCTCCAGAGTCCTAGTCCATCACTCTTTTCACTACAACACACTGGTAAACTGCAATACATGAAAAATATGTTCTTTCACTAAACCGTGTCCACCTTTATCAGGAGGTTTACACATATAAGAGGGGCATATAAGATGAAACAACCGAGTTTACAAGAAAACGGAAGACTTATTTCTTACCATTTGATTGTGTATTTGGTGCTATCACTATAAATAAATTAATTTACGTACTCTATAAACCCTGGAGTAAGATTGTTTTATAGCAGGAAAGTCATGCTGTGTTCACTTACAAATAACTCCTTGTTTTAACGAACAAGACCAAACAGTTGTAACAGGCCACGGGAGAAGCAGTGAGGGGAGGAGAAAGGAAGAGAGGAAGATGTCCAGGGTGCGTGTTAAAAACAATATTAAAAGACAAAAGGAGAGCTTATGAGAAAATGTGCATTTTTGGTCAGAGTCACTGACTGTGGCACAACTAAGAGAGGTTCCAAAATAAAGCATATACAAGAATAAGCACACACACTGTGAACGTGAATGTCTGAGTTTATTAAAGGATGCTTCCACAGCCCCTTCCCCAGAACTTTACTCTTCTTGTTTGCTTTAAAGCATAGAAAAACTTTGCTTTTCTCACTGAACTTGGTGTCACTAAGTGACTCTGTCACAGATGCACCTGCTTGCTCCAAAGAGACTCTGTCACAGATGCACCTGCTTGCTCCACTTTGAAGCTAGGCTGTGGTACATCGGCCGACCACAAATATCCTGTCTACCTACTTTCCTATTGAAATGTAACCGCAGAACGGGTTGCGACAAGTTAGAGTACCCAAAGGGGGACTTCCTGCATACTTAGAAAGCATATGCCCCTTTGCTGTTCTACCCTATAGAATGCATACTGAATACTGTAACTCCCTTGACCTACTTGTCAGCTAATGACAATTTCCTTGTGGTTAGAACGCATAAAAGCTCTTTGTACTTTTGGGTCAAATAATGACAATTTCTTTGTGGTTAGAAGGCATAAAAGCTCTTTGTACTTTTGGGTCAATGTCTCTCGTTTCTGGGGGACCTGAGTGGCCACTCAAAATAAACAGTGTTTGTTCTCTCTTGAGTGTGTGTATGGTCAAATCTCATGCTTGCTGGTACAAGAGTGTTTTAACACTCCTAGATTTCTTATATCTGGCTCACAACACAGCCAGAAAAGGTGAACTCACGATATGAGAATGGATGCAAATGCTACTCATACAGGCTACACATAAAGCTGGTGCCTTACAAAGCAGTCCAAGACATGTCTATTCACAAACGAGACTCACTGAGTTCACTGGTGATTGCAGATACTGCATACACTCCTCCAAAAGGACACGGTTCAAATTAATAAAAGTAAGAGTAATAGCATTCCCGTCTTGCTTTTTACCCACATGTTTCTTTGGAAGCCATCCCAGTTATGCTCCCTGAACAGATAGAAAGCAATTGCAATAGAGAGGAAATAGCCGCCACCATCTTTTATGCTAACTTGATAACCATTCCTCAGTGACTGATTTGCATGTTGGAGAGTATATGCTCATAATGCTGGCTTCCAGCTTTCTTTTACCTCTAGTCATTTGGCACAAAAAGAAAACTAGAGTTTTAAAAGAGTATTAAAGGAGGTATTCAGAAGAACCTAATTCAGTTTATTTATGTAATCCCATCAGAAACACTGCTGAAGTTTCCTGATTTACATACTAACATGCTACTGATATTACCTAGTTTGGACACAAGGGTAATCTTTGGCCCAACACAAGACAGAATATTCGCATCCAAGTGAGCATACGAGAGGAGGAAAAAAGGGGTGCAGCCTCAGTGCTAATATAATTTCTTCAATTCATCTAAGCAGTTTCAAAGGTACAGTGTATATATCCAAAAAACAACATACAGTGTTAATCCCTTACCTTTACCATCCCCAGGCGCAGCTGCTTTTACAATCAGCCTTGTTTTTGAAGACATGTTAAAGAGTCACTTAACTGGATCAACAAAATCAAGCTGCAGCAACATTCTCACTTGGAGGAAGCTGTATGTTTATTCTTGCATAGGAAGCATACTCTATAAACTAGATGTTGCACATTCTGCAACTTTAAGGCCACGGTCCTCTACTAGCAAACATTTAAAAGCAGGTGACAAACAGCCCCCCCAATGATCTGCCTTTTATCCACGACACTGTCTTAAAACCTCGCTTCCTTCACCAATTGCTCCCTTGGTCTTTCTTCCGGACCCACCTCCACTGCCGTCAGTGGAATATCCTGTTGTGCAGCTTTGCTTTCCTCAATAGCTTCTCTATTTTCAGATTATAATCGTCCTGTTTTGAGCAAACACCTCCTTACTCCATCACAAAAGAGAGGAAGAATTGAGGATAAACCTCTATTTCTCCTTCATCTTCAGTCAATTTCCTTTTTTAATCTGATTTTTAAAATTTTAATAATCAACAATAACACAAGAAATAATAAGACAAAAAAGAAGAATAGATAAGAACAAAAACATAAACTCAAATCAAAACTCACAATACAATCTTGACTCAATTTTGTACTTAACTTCAAATATGATTTTTGCACCGAGTTTTGGGCACCAAACCTGTTTATTTACTGTTTTGAGTGCTTAGTGCCGATTTACAGCCTAGCAACGGAAGCTAGCAACTTAGGGGTCCCTCCCCTCATCTATGACGTCAGGTTGCTACCTGAAGGAGAGCACCAAAAGGCATGGATACCCCAAGCTACCCAGGTTGCCCTGACCCATGAGAGGCAATGTCTACCCTGGCAGTATAAGTACAATAAGGACTTTAATTGCTAACAATTGGCTGCCTTTTCATGCCACCCAAATACTGCTGTCTGAAGCTGCTTCCTCACTCTGACTAAAAGCCATGACTTTCATGAGCAAGGATATATCACATGCTTATTTTGAGCTTCCACATGGGATGTGGGGAGCAAATACTTTACTGCTTGCTTGTGAGGGTTTTTTTTTTTTGGGGGGGCAGAATAGCTGTGAACCTGTGAACCCACATCCTTAAAAAGGAGTACAAGTGCAGTACGTATTCTGTATAAATCTTCTAAAAGCTACAGTTGTTGATTTTGATTTTTTTCCTTTTTAAAAAAAGTAAAGTAAAATGGATAGTACTGTGAGCAGGAGGAGAAAAAAAAACACATCATCCAAATGTAAACAGAACAAAATAAATTGGAAAACATGACGAAATGATTAGAAGGAGAGAACAATGAAGGCATAATTTGTAACTTCACACTCTACGGAAACTGAGATGAGTATCACAGTGCTGGAACTATGACGTTTACATGAATGCTGTTGCTAGGGCTTGTGTTCCTTTTCAGGAGAAAGCCAGCACAGAAATGAAGTAAATAAATTTACAAAAACCTAAAAATTAAATTAACTCAGTATGATTTCACTGATATTTTTTTTGGAAGGCGGGGCATTTTCTTCGCCTGTGTTCAGGACAGGTCAACCTTTAACCCTAGACTTCAAATTTCTGAAGCCCTAGCCACCAAACAAATGGTAAAGGACTATGGGAGTTGTAGTCCAAAACGTGTGGCAGACCATGCTTCCTCCCCACTGCCCTCTACCATATGCACACCTGTCACCCATAAATAGACTTTCCTTTAAAAAAAACATTACCAAGGTCATTTTCTGAACTGAACAAATTGTTACAGACATGTGCAACAGAAAAACCACACATTTTAAAAATTCCCATTGTAAGTTTTTACAGTAGGTAAAATGGCCAGAGACAGCAGACCACGAGGGATAAGAACTGTCTTGCTTGATCAGAGTGAAGCCCAGCATTTTGTTCTTAATAGCAGCCACTCATATGCCTCCGAAGGTTCAAACTAAAGCAGGCAGATTATGAGTTTTAGTTAATTAATTAACTGTATTTACCCAAATGTGCCCAATATTTTTGAAGCAAGAATAATTTTAACATTTTTATAAGGGACATATGGTTCTCTGCAGACATGACTTCATAAGAGGCATTTTTCTCTTCCGTGTGTGTGTGTGTGTGTGTGCGTGTGTGCGTGTGTATGCGCGTGCGCGTGCGCATGTGTGTGTGTGTGTGTGTGTGTGTGTGTGTGTGTGTGTGAGAGAGAGAGAGAGAGAGAGAGAGAGAGAGATCAGATGGCTGGAAAGGGTTGATTTGCAGGGAACCGTCTCTCTTAAAGCCAACCTTCTGTCTGCTGGGGAATCACTCCAGCGCAGCCCCCAAAAGTAGCAGCCCTACAGCTGTACCGAAAAGGTCCGACATGGGCACAGATCAAGGATGGAACACAATTCCCCATATGCCCTGTGATTGCTGGGAAATAGATTGCCCTGGACTGCTCCACAGGGTCCAAAATGCTATTTATTTCCAAGTAGGATTGTTACTCCCAGAGCTCAGTGTCTTAACTTATTCTATTAAACCAAGTCTTGAGCAATAATAATAAGCAGACAGTTTCTTGGAGGAAAGGGCAACAGGTTTATTCAGGTAAAATAAGGGTGCACTGGGGTGCCTAGTAGGGTGGGGACCCCAAGATCAACAGGGTTCAAGTTTTTATACAGTTCTAAAAAAAAGAACAAAAGTATGCAGCAGTTGATAGGTCTTTGAGGAATCTATGCATTGGTTAGTTTCTCACATTTCAGCAAAGCAGCTACCCATGCACAGAGCAGTTTATTGCTGAGGAACGCTGTCTTTTGCTTCCTTCTTACAGTCCCCTTTCTAGAAGCTGCGATAAGCATGTAGCATCAACGTCCATGAAGGCATTTCATTTCATAAAAAGAGGGGTGCATTTGGCAAGAGCAAACACATTGCAGAATGGCGAGGGTGGCCTGAATACAGCAACAGATTAGACCCAGTAAATAATAACCGTACCCATCCCCATCCAGGGAGCCAATCAGTCAACCATGCTCACAGGGCAAGGTCTCTGGTAACATCTGGATGCCACTGCATGCAAAGGGCAGCTAATGGTCACTCTTTGATAGAATCAAAGACACAGGTTACACATTTGCCACCTGCCCCTTGAACCCAGATGCGGTTCCATCCTCTCAGTGTTAGGCCCCCCCATGGGTATGATGGGCCAGCCCTGTGTGCCACTAGATGCTCCATGGCTGCACACCCAACAGTCAGCAGCATTAACAACCTGAGATACATCATTCACTAATTGATGCAACAAGTTATGTTCCCAGCCGGCATGTAGTGAGATCACAAAATGGAATAGATAGGGGAGGGGCCACAGCCCCAAAACCAGGGAAACTGGTGGAGAAAACAGAAGAAACAAATTTAGAAGCAATTGCAATAACAATATAAATAACCCATGGGTCCACAGGCATCTGGAAGGTATCGCTGTCCTTTGAACAAAAGCCTAAGATCCTGAATAGTAATAGGGTTCCCTGTCCACTCCTTGTGAGGTTTGACCTTCTTCACTCTGGTGTGATATATCCACAATTTGGAAACCTTGATTGCTGTGTCAGTAATCAGCAGGAGTGCTCCAGCAGAGTTTCAACGGCTGTTTAGCTCGCAGCTGCTCCCACTGTTTCACAACCACCCAATCTCCAGGTTCAAAGTTATGGACTGGGCCATCAAGGCTGAATGGACATTCCTGGAGGGCTGCAGAAGGAGAAGAAGACAAGAAACAAGACAGAGACTGCACAAATGGAGAAAACAATGCCTCTTCATACACTACCTCCCCCCTCTGGGCTCCTGGACCAGAAACCAAGGGCCAGGAGTGGCCAAGTACATGCTCAAAGGGTGATAGTTTCAGTTTTCCTCTGGCGGTTATGATTAGTACTGTGAGGGCCAAGGGGAGAATCTATGGCCACTTAAGGCTAGTCTCCTGGCAGATTTTTGCAAGAAGCACCTTAAGGCACTGAATGCCTTCACAAAATGGTTTTGGGATAGGGTATCTGAAATGTTACTTTATGAACCTGCCCATAATTTTGTAATCTCCTTAAGTGGTCTATTTATGTATCCTACTACCAAGAGACAGTAGGATGGCTGGATCACAGGATAAAACATTCCCTGTAGCGGCAGCGTTCCAAATGGGTGATTCCCTCCCTACCAAAGTCAGGCAGGATCTCTGTTTACTCAGCCTTTGTTTTTAATGGTTTTTAATACTGGGTTGACCCTGCTATGAGGACTCAATAGCAACTGTGGTGTCAGAGAGGTTTTTTGAATTATCTTTTTCTTCTTGTGTTCCCTTTTGGTTTCTAACCTTTCTGAAGCTTTGTTTGAGTTGTAAGGCCAGTGCATCATGGCCACTCCCAATTTGAAGAGACCCTTGTCCAGCAGGCCGAGGCAAAGAGGCAGTTACGAAAGCAGCAAAATCAGGGAGCTGGACAGGGGACAGATTGTACAGTATTTGTCTTCCATGTGGAAGGGATTGTCACTCTCGAATTGACCTCCTCAGCCACACTAGACGCTTTTCCAAGTCCTCGATACAGAGCACGATACCATAGTCTTTCGAGACTGAAGGATGCCATCGAAAGCCAGTGATAAATATTTTCAACTGTAAATAGTAAATACAATTTTTATGATGCTGTTTGACATGTATAATTTGTATAAACATTTGCATTACAAATATATATTAAATATACCACCTAATTAATTGATGGCATATTTTAATTTGTTAAAAAAACATTTATGAAATGATCTATCAGAGCTGTAATTATTAAGATCCCATATGGTTCCTCTCCAACATCTAGCAACTAGACACAATTTGCACCTGAATACACAGAGATTTGTAGGCCACAGGGGTTCATTCCAAACATGGCAGCCCTCATGGTTGAGCTGAGAATTTCAATATCTACATTAATATATTTAAGACTATTCTCTTTAAGACATTCTAACTAGAACTATGCCAACACTGTCTGTTCCATGTGTTTTCAGTGTAGATGCTGCTGAGAAAATAACCAGTGCAAGTCTTAGTGCCAGGCTGTCTAAGAAGGGTTGTAAAATTGTTTTTATTTAATATTTTAATATAATGTGTTTTTAATTATTTTAAATATTTGTATAACTTACTGTTTTTTACTTTTAAATATTGTCTTTTAAAATGTATTTATGTCCAGGAGAAAGGCAGGGTAAAAATATTATACAGTAAATAAAACAAAGAACTGGGCAGACCAGATTTGGGGAACCCAATGTGGCTAAACTCCAGTTCCTTTTCT